AGTGCCTCAGGCACTGCTGATCCATGCAGACGCGTCTCCCTGCCAAACCCGTGTCTTAATACCCCACCCTCTTCTCACCCACCCGTGTACATACGCCGTTACTAGAGCAACGGCTCCCGACGAAGGAGCATTTATGTTACATTTGCTCCTACAGCTCCTTCGGAGTACATCCATCCTGGGGGGAAGATGGACGTTGGTGGATCTGGAGCAGGCCGTGACTCAGAGATCTGAGGAGCACACGGTCGGTGAGGCCACCAGGAGGGAGTGGCGAGGCGGGCACCACATTTGGCACAGCAGCTGTGCCCATCTGCGATGCCTCACAAAGTCTGCCATCAGTCCGTACGTCATTTTGTTACCTCTTCTGTTTTTTTAAAAAAACAGACTTCCCATGTGTGTCCATAAAGACCCAAAATCCCATTTTAATATTTAATTTCGCCACGACCGCCACCGCTGCCGTTTGGTACGGTCTGGATTTCCGCATCGCTCGGTGGCATCGGTGAGACTTCTGCAATTCTGCCCACTTCCCTCTTCTGTGTGGTGAAGCGCGTCAGAGACGAGTCCAAAAAGCACAAATAATTTCAATTCCAACCTCACAGACGTGCATGAGTGCAAGATTTGGGGAAAAAAACACTGCGCAGTCAGGTTAGGTTCCCTTAACACACAATAAAGTGTTTCTCTCTCACAGTTAAAGCAGAGTGCGGCAGCTGGGGTTCTACGCGTTTCTCTAATCTGAAACGACGCTCGCTTGTCACTTCTGCTCCTCCGCGGCATGTAAATGTCACCCATCAGAATTTCTGACCTAAATACGTCGCCACGGACACCCGTCGCCACGGACACCCGTCGCCACGTTATCCACGGCCAGGATGGAGCTCGGAAACAGAGTCGGCAGCCCGCCTCGGCCTCCGTGGGAGTCCCGAGGCGCCCGGAGTGACTGAGCGGCGTGGTTGGTGCAGAGTTGAGTCACATTCCAACGTAACATCGGGCCCCATGAGCCCATTCCATGTGGGGGGGGGGGGACGGAGACACAGTGATGTCACAGCTCTGGTACGAGCCCCCAAGAACCCCCCATAAATAAAGGTACTGGCTGATGAAATGACGAACAATGATCACCTCTGTTTCTAAGATTAGTTTATAAGAAGAGAACGTGACGGGAATATCGTAAGCGATGTGGGCCTGTGCGGATGCGGTCGGCGGCTGCACACAGGCCTCTCCTGCAATTATCCTGAGTGCTCTGATCAGAAGGCAGGCCGCATTCCGCAAAGTGGGTCAGCAGTGAATAGCCTCCAAAGTGTAGGAGCGCAAACACGGTGGCCAGAAACAAATACCATTATTTCTCAAGTGCTTCATTTTGAAGCTCTTTTGATGGTTCCGCTCTGGAATGCACCTGCGTTACTCTTTAGGGCTCAACGGAGGCAGACATTCCGAGATTCTCTGAAGTCAACTTTCCGGCATGAGAGCGAACTAATGATTTTCCAAGAAAGGTGAAGTCACTGCCGCTTCTTTTATCTTGGCTCCAGGACAATGTTCATATTTCCTAAGAAGAGATCAGATGGGTTTTTCCATCAGTTGCGAGTTTCTCTTCCGTTACGCTATACAACAGTACAGATCAGGGCTAGGGCACTACAGCCCACATAAAATAAATACCAGAGGACCTGTAGCTAGAATAGTCTGTCAGGAAGAAATGAATAAAGTATATGCATTATGAATAACATACATGAGCACAGACTGCAGGACCACAGTAAACCAACCCCACCTGTATGTTTCCTCTGGGGAGGCTGATGTCATTATTCAAGGCCTAAACACCATGGGATCACTGAGCAGAAAGAGTGAAAAGTGTAGCTGGGGTTTGGGGGGGCATCTATCTTGATATGTTGCTGCCAATTGGGGGGGGTCCCCTTGGTATATTTACATATATTTCTATATACTGTCTAAGTTTGCACACGTTCTGTGCTAGTACCTTGCACATTTAGGTAGAGAAAATGATATGTGTGAGTTATGTGTGCATCAGATACGTGTGACAACATATAGTGTAAGCAGGATGCAAATCCCCCCCCCCCCCCCCCCAAGACCAGCCAACAAAGGCCACCTATGGAGAAAAGCGCAGCTCTGAATGACGAGCACGGCCCCCAGATCGGTGAAGAGCAGCTGTGAAACCCACCGGCTTATGGTGTGACCGTGACGCAGAGCGTTCTCGCCCAAACTGCGTAAGTCATTCGGTCTGCTTTTCTGAATGTGGACCAGCGCAGCTTGCTGTGCGTTTGGGACTTCAGCCGTCATAACCAAGCCCATGTTGCCAGCGGACCTGAGAGGAATTGTTTGTTGCAAGGGAGATATCAGCTGAAGCATTTTTTCCCAATGGAACAATGGTTTGATTCATGTTATTGAAGCAAACATTTAAACACACAAGGAAATTGCGCCATTAAACGAATGTTACATTGTTACATACTTCTGCAGTGACAGGGTTGCATGCTGTAGGTCTGCCAGTCACAGTCTGCAGTTGACGATCATTAGTACATTCCTTTGTTTGTATATATGCCTTCATCAACAGTCACTCAGCATTTAATTTTTTTAATTAATGTTGGAAATGTCTGGGGAGACTATCTTAGCTAATTGTACAGAGGAATTCCTCTTAATGTCATGTGACTAGAGTCGTTGGGTAAAGTAAGATTTAATATATTTTGCATTGCGACACTCTGTTCCCTGACTTGTGGGTGACGACAGGCAGTTTGTTATTCATAAAATATTTCGAAAAGTATTTCTTTACCATAAAATAATTTAATGGGAAGGTAATCAAAAATTGGAAAACTTTTATAAAATGCAGAAGTAGGACCTATGTTTTAAAATGTTTTGTAGAGGAACTGAAGGAAGATCCTCAGAAATTAATCAGGTGGGTATCCTTCAGTTCCTGCTCACAGCAGCTTTTCAAAAGTCTCACTGTCTGGCAAGATATAGATACACTTCTTGTACTAAAAATAAATGTGGAGTATCGTACTAGGATTAACAAATGATTTCATCCATCGTGTGACATGGTTCTGGTGATGTCTGAGTTCCTGTGTGTAATGCCGTTACGCTGCACGGTGTACGTGCTGGCAGTGATGTGCAATGCCGTTACGCTGCACGGTGTACGTGCTGGCAGTGATGTGTAATGCCGTTATGCTGCACGGTGTACGTGCTGGCAGTGATGTGCGATGGCGTCACGCTGCACGGTGTACGTGATGGCAGTGATGTGTAATGCTGTCACGCTGCACGATGTACGTGCTGGCAGTGATGTGCAATGCCGTTACGCTGCACGGTGTACGTGCTGGCAGTGATGTGTAATGCCGTTATGCTGCACGGTGCACGTGCTGGCAGTGATGTGTAATGCCGTCATGCTGCACGTGCTGGCAGTGATGTGTAATGCTGTCACGCTGCACGTGCTAACAGTGATGTGCAATGCCGGCACGCTGCACATGCTGGCAGTGACGTGTAATGCCGTCACGCTGCACGTGCTGGCAGTGATGTGTAATGCCGTCACGCTGCATGGTGTACGTGCTGGCAGTGATGTGTAATGCCGTCACGCTGCACGGTGTACGTGCTGGCAGTAATCTCACAAACCATGGCGTTGATGGTTCGTTGCATATTGTACCAAGACTGTAAATCACCTTCGCTGCAAGCAAGTTTGCTTTATAGCCCAAACCAAGGGTGTGGATCTTCGCTTTGACCCTTAGGTGCCAGTTTTAATCTAAAGAAACATGGGAGGCCACCCCCCCCACCCCCCAGCAGGCCTATACATGCCTATACATGCCTGCTCACTGAAAAGCATTAATTGCCTAGGTAATTCGCCATAATATAGGTCTTAATTGTTATATGGCATAGGATTTATAAGATTTAACAGCCCTAATGTCAAGAGAGAGCGATTTACCTTTTATAACAACTAACCGTTAACGATTAGTGAGTGAATATAAATAAGGTGCGGAGCAGTTCTATCTGTCTGCAGTCGCTGGGGGTGTATTATATATACTGGATTATGATTATGCTCCAGATTTCACTGCCACCTGTTGTTCACAGTATAAACATTACAGTTTATACGCGGCTTCAAACGAGCAGCACAAGCTACCTTTGAAATGGGAAGTTCCGAAATCTCGTCTTACGTGTAGCTGCATGTGTCACGGCATGTTTAGGGTCAGGGCACGAGGGGAACGCGCGGGGTGTAAACGGGGTGCATATATACTGACCGGTTGAGGAGGCACAAATAGCGTTAAACGGAACGTTAAACCTTGACACACTACCATAAAATGAAATTCTAATATTAGGATACTGTATAATACTGTATTAGGACTATATGTAGACAAACGTGAACGTACGCAGGGTGTGTAAAAAAGCGATGCACGTTTTCAATCAAGATTCCCTACTGTTTTTGTTAATATGAAACGTATAACTGAAATGACACTGGCGGGCTATACATTGGTAAGGCGGTGCATTTTTGCCGTCTCTCGCTTGAAAACAAACGGATCTGCTAATGACTTTAATAGGACGTTATAAAGTAAATTAACTCAATCACCCCTGTAATGTAAATGGAATCCTATTTTGTCAGTCTCTCACGCGCAGTTGACATAATTGAGGCGTCGCTTGTCGAAAACGAAATGCAGCTTTACACAATGAAAGGATAAGAAATGCACATGATCACTGTCATTAATTGGGCGTCGCGCAGGTGAGCGGCAGGCTGAGCCCCCGCAGGCTGAGCCCCGGACGCGCGTCTCGCATGCTGCGCACGCCGTGCTGCACTCCCCGCCAGCACCCCCTGTCCTGTCTGCGAAGCACTCGGGAGATGAGCTCCGCTATCTAAACGCGAACGACGTCTCGACTGTGCTCCTCCGAAAACGGGAAAAACATCGTTCGGCTTCTTTAAACACTGAAGTTGGGCGAAGAGACGGGCTTTAGGAGAGCGGACGCCCACCGAGCTGCGTGGGTCATGTTTGCCCGGAGCGCGTAGGACGGCGGCATTGTGAGTGCTGTTTTTAAACCCCCCTGACAATTAACGTTTAGCGGCGCAAAGCGGCTCATTTTGGATGCATGTGAAAGCAGCCACTTGCCGGAGAAGCGGGGAGGAGGTGCCGGGAGATAATATAATAATAATCGCATTTGTTTTGAAACGTCTCTCCAGCAGAACTCCAGCATGTCGGATAGAGGAGGGCTCCCAAGGACCGGAGGCTCTCCGTCTCCGCATATGCAGCCCCCGAAGTCGGTGGCGATCCCGTCGAATCGGCCGGTGCAGATGAACCTGTACGCGACCTGGGAAGTGGACCGATCGTCGCCGAGCTGCGTGCCGAGGTGCAAGTTCTGCCAGCGACGTGCATTTATGCTGTCAGAATAGAAATTAATATTACTAGACTAAAGAGATCAATGGGAGCTTATGGAGACGTTTTGGAAAGCAGTGTTTTTAATTCCCGTACCTTCTGTGTAACGTTATCGAAACAATTATTCGTTTTTAATTTTTAATTTTTTATTTTTTTGCAAAATCCAGGGTACTGACAAACTGGTGCGTGATTATTATTTAGATGTAGCTCGTATGCGAATCCAGATTATATGAGTAAAAATATACGTAGGCCTATATATTTTCACATTATATATTTGGGTGTTTATGCAGCGCATTCTGTGTTACTGCCTGCCTCGCTGTGTAATGCAGACTCGGATGTCTACACAAAACTCGGATATGAAGATTAAAATAGTGGCGCTGAGACACAGAAACGGCGACGCGCTATAATCCCCCCCTCCTCATTCAAGAAATGAGTGTAAGTAGGTTGTGCTGCCCACCAAGCCGTAAATGTTACGGGCGAAAGGAGGAACTGTGACGGCGCCTATGGAGGTACGGCGGATCTAGCCGTGGTCCTTCTGCGTTTCTGCCTCTGCGTGCTCGGTGACAGATTGTGGGCAGGGAGGGGTAAATATTTCTGGCAGAGGGAATCGGAGATAGACAGCCCGTGTTGCAAACTAAACAATTTCTATGAATGCATGTCTGTTTTGTTCCCCCCACCACTGTTATGCGCCAAACATCAGTCCCACGTTTAGTAATGTGCAGCGGTTCATTGTGCATTTACAGGTGCCAAGTTTCCCCTTAAAAGTAAAATATCTTGTCACGACAGCCCATGCGCTGTTTTTTTTTCATAGATTAAAAAAAGGATAGCCAAAATAGATGCGTTTTCCAGTCGCCGTTTTTATTGTGCATCAGAATTTCTGCAGGAAATTGGCAGAAAAGTCCGCCTGTTTGCGGGTTTAGAGGCTGTGGTGCGGGTTTCGCGTGGGGCAGCGCGTGACTTTGTGCCCGTTTAAGCGGCGCTGTGTCGTAAATCTACGGCTCCTTTAGTCCATGTTATTGCAGTGAGAAAGTGATGGTCTCCGTTCGGCGAGTGACCGATGGGCAGTCAGTCACTAATGCGTTTGTTTCCCCTCCTTTCAGGGAAAATTTAGATGTACTGTAATTGAACAGGGGGTAAAACACCAAGCGTGCCTGTTTGATCAAACTGCATTAGGCTGCTCCAGACCCGTTTGCTGTGTAATCTGCTGTCACAGGCTGCTGATTATGATAATAATCAAGGAGAAAAAATGTTAAACGGCAGTTTCCTGTAGGTAATGAGCCGGGCCGTGTGCATATCTAGTGGCTCCAGTGTCTGTATTGTCATTCCGCGCTTCTGCTGCTTCCCTCTTGGTGCTCACTTCCCTGCCCAGTGACCCCTGGCTCAGCCCCTGTGTGTAATAAATGGGAAATGAAGGGGTTACCTTTGTGTACCATGTCTTTTTGGCCCGAAACGGGGAGCTGTTGCAATCGCCTGCTCCAAACTGGGAGAATAGCCCCCCCCCCAGCCTCTCATCCCC